TTGGAGAGTGTCGAATTTTAACATGAATGACAGTTCAGAGGATTCCCTTTCAAGTGCTGTTCTGTTCTGAAATGTGATTTGTCCTTTTCATGTGTTCATTTTTTTTTAATTGTATCCTTTGGTATATATGGTTGTGACTATTTTCTTCCACTATTTGATCTGAGGAAGTGGGTCTGGCCCACGAAAGCTCATCACCTAATAAACCATCTTGTTAGTCTTTAAAGTGCTACATAGTCCTGTATTTTGATGTATAGTGACTTTTTGATCAGTGCTGTCTGCTTCTAGTTCACCCTGTTTGCAGACTAGGGGTTTTTTTTTAATGTTTTTCTATTTCACCCTGTTTCTCAAGATTAGTTGTTTACTGTAAGGCCTTGCTTCCTGGTAGCATTACAAATTAAGATGTACCCCTTGTCTGTATCACAAACTAAGCTGTGCACGATTCCCTTCTTTTTGCTGTTCCTTTAGCGACGATGTCTCCTGTCTGAACGGCTGCACAATTGTGTGGTGAGAGTGGAGGAGGTGTGCGAGCGTGACAGCTGTCACAGATGCCCAGGTGATCAAGAAGAAGTGGAAAACTTTGAAGATAAAGAGGAAGCATGCAGTGTGTCTTGAGACTGAATTGAATTAGCAGTATTGACAACCCTGGAGACAGGCAGAGCCCCCCTCCCCGGGGTGAGAGACAATGATGGGCAGCCTGACACTCACCATCAAAGGATAACTCTGGAAAACACAGATTAACATCTTTTAAGGCTGGATGACAGCAGCATGACACAGCAATACCTACAGACTCAAATGGGCACTTTCATGTATAAGAAGGGGTGCTCTGGCCATTACACTCTACACGGCAGGGTTTTTGCACAAAACCCCACGGAGCATCCACACCTCAAGCGCGTTTTTGCACAAGAAAATGTACAGAAAACGGCAGACCAGAGGGCTTGCTGCGGTGTAGGTATTCCTCTTTCTGCGCGGAATAACTCCTTTTTGCTCAAGAGTTCTTGCACAAAAAGGTGCATGCGGACGCTCCACAGGGGTTTCTTGTGCAAAACGAACCTATTGAAAAACGCACAGGTGCTCTGCTGCCCATTCTGTGAATGGCCATTAGAGCTTTCTTTTGCAAGAGTGTCCATGCAGTGTGGACGCCCTCTTGCGCAAAAGCTCATTGCTTTTGCGATGCGCTCTTGTCGCATGGACGTGCTTTTGTGCCAGACGTTTTTGCGGAAGATCTCGGCGGCAAAAAGTTTCTTACACAAAAACCCTGTAGAGGTAGATGGAGCCTGTGGGGGCCAGTCCTGAGAGTCAAGTCTCAAAGATAACCCCAACGCCTTTGTCAGCCTTGCCTGGCCAGTAAGATTGATGTGAACCACGAGAGATTGGAAACGATGCAACATCTGCAGGACTTTGTGTGTGTGTGTGTGTGTGTGTGTGTGTCTTTGTGCATGGGCTTGAATGACATGACATGACGCACGGGCTAGCTGCTTTTCCACTGTTGCCTTTTCCCTGAGGTGTGCTTCTTACCACCTAACAGCCCCACTCCCACAGGAGGCCTCTAGGTGGGACCGTAACACACACAATCAAGATGAAGGCTTCTGGGAGCAACTCGAAATCTAAGCTCCGAGTCTGGCTTTGGGGTGATCCAGCAATGGGCCTCGGTACGCCACCATGGCTGTGCGGGGCAGGGCTGCGTGCGCCCCCTCACGCCAGCCTGGCCCCCACAGCAGCAGGAGTGAGGGCCAGGAGAGCTTGATTCCGGGGAACGTCAGTCCTGTGACCGCACGGCAGCTTTTCTTCTCTGTCACGCACCAGGCAGTGGGAGCTGCCAGCTGGGACGGATGCCCTCAGGGCCGTGGGGAGAGACCCCTGAAGCCACCACCAAGCTGCTGTCTGAGGCCTAGAGAGGCAAGGCCACAGCCAGGGCTGAAGTGGATGAATGGGCTAAGATCTGGGGAGCACAGGTTTGGGATGACGGTGGCTAGGGTCAGCTTTTCTTCTCTGTCACGCACCAGGCAGTGGGAGCTGCCAGCTGGGACGGATGCCCTCAGGGCCGTGGGGAGAGACCCCTGAAGCCACCACCAAGCTGCTGTCTGAGGCCTAGAGAGGCAAGGCCACAGCCAGGGCTGAAGTGGATGAATGGGCTAAGATCTGGGGAGCACAGGTTTGGGATGACGGTGGCTAGGGTGGGCTATGGGGGGTGCACTGGGGAGGAGGGGGGATGGTGGGGG